AACGTTGTCAAGCATGTTATGCATTAGAAAATTGATCTTGTTTTAAGAAAATATATCTAACTTTGTCTTAATAAGATATTACAGCTAATGTTGAGCTTGATTTAACCAGTAACAAGTTACAACAATGGTTTGCAGAATATCTCAGCAGAGGATTATTTTCCTTATTTTAAGAGTGAGACCACTTGCACAACTTCTTGCAGAACTACTTTAACAGAAAGTAGTTTGATATTAGTTGTTAGTTTTTTACTTATTTTTATCACAATCAAGAAATTGTTTTTAATTATTAATCTTAGATTAAGGCACACATTCTTAAATTCAGCTCAATAAAGTGACCAAAATACTTCATTTAAGAAAGTCTATCATAAATAACTTGAGTTTTCATTGCTTGTAATAAGCACAACTTACTTAAGACTTCTAGCCAAGAAAAACTGGTTTATCCCACAGGCAGAAAATGTTATTATATTTGCCTTGTTTCTACAAGTGCTGTTTTTGCAGTGTAGCGCAGCAGTGGAAGGCCCTGCTCTGGTGAGCCACACGTCTGAACCCTTTATCACTGTGGCTCCTCAGGGATGCATTACACTCAACAGTTTCAGCATGGTTGCGTGTTTCTGGTCACGATCAATAGTGGCACAGCTCTGCACACTCTTGCTCAGCGGTAAGTTTAACACACTGGTTTCATAAATATTTGAACATGTGGAGATGTTTTATTCCCATGCATCAATTTAAAAATCTCAACTTTGGTAAGGAGAGATAAACAGTTTCTTTGAAAGCCTATTAGTACAGGTAATTGTTCATGAGAGCTCTGACTGTGTATCAATGCATGAAACGTACTCGGCTGAGACATTTCCAGTGGACTCGGGGGGAGATTTTGTCAGTGAAGTTAACCTTACTACATTGCTCAGCATTCACAGACCTAGCCCTGGTTTGTGACTCTCATGTATTACCATTACATTCCCGTCACACAGCTAAGCAACCGATTTTACAAAAAATAAATACCCAGCAATCTTTGAAAAACCCAGAAGGTCGTTTAACAAGTCTTACTGCTGCTCTGAAGGTATTTTCAGACTGAACACTTGTTTAGCCATCTGGATGAAAAAAATACATCTGTTGCACAATAAAAAAAGATTTTAACCAGTTTTATGTTTTTCAAAGATTGATCATTATTTATTTTTTAGAAGATTAGATGCTTAGTTCTGTAATGTAATGGTGATACATGAGAGGCACAAACTGGGGCTATCATCAAAGGTAAAGTCTCTAATGTGTTTGAACTTTATGTCATATATCTTGTTAGGGATACTTTATTACAGCTTTGGTTTTCATTTCTATCAGCTGTATCACTGAACTCACTAAAATATTTGCAGAGATCTGGGAACACAGCGATGTCTCCACAACAAATCAGATGATCAGACAGGTTGTATACAAGCCAGCAGGTTAGTGAGATTCTCTTAAACTCAAAATGAGGACACCTGTATTTGCCAAAATACGACAAATGGTTATTTTTATACAGTTATTCTTAATGCCTGCCACCCGGTTAGATTCCCCTTAAAATCAATGAAGAAACACTACAGCTTTTGTCCACAGGGGCCGCCACAATCAACACAAAATGAAAGTTCCTTTAAGCTGCCTTAAACAGATGAGATATAACATGTAACAATAACTGTACCCTGTACACCCTGTAGGTGTGGATGTGGGTGTGAATGGTTGTCTGTCTCTATGTGTCAGCCCTGTGATGAACTGGTGACTTATCCAGGGTCTACCCAAGCCACAACCTCCGTGGCTGGCAAATAAAAACCCCCACGGTTAGTAAGAAAAACTGCAGTTCCTCGAACGGCAACGTGAGTCAAACTCCATAAGCCCCCATATTAAAATGTCCAACTTTACAGCAGAAATAATCATGTTTACAGCCTGGTAGAAGAAACAGTTTTGGTTTCTGTAGTAAGATTTTCCTATTCATGACAACTGTAGACATTTATACAGTCTATGGTTGCACCCTGCCTTTTGCCCATGGTCAGCTGGCATTGGCTGCAACCCCCACAGTACACTGCGAAGGATAAGTGGTTATAGATAATGGATGACGGATGTATATAAGTGAGCGAGGGAACTCTACATAGAGCCAAGCTGTTTCCGTTTGCCTCCAGTCTTTATGCTAAGCTGAACTACGGTAACCGTCCAATTGTATTTCCAAAATGTCAAACTATTCCTTTCAAGTCAACCTGTTCATCATCCAACTTTGCTGGATGTTTATATTTTACAGTTTTGGTAATAATTTAAGTTTCCGTCTTTGTTTTCTCTTCCAATAACTTGGCTAACCCTGATGTTTCTGTATGACTGTCTGACCACTTGGTTCTTGCCCTGTTTGACTTATTTTTAGAAATGCGTCTATTCACACATCTCAGCAGTTCAGTACAACACTATTGTTAGAAATTGAAATGATGGCCAAAACTATTAAAAAATAAAACCCAACTTCTAACAAACCAGAATTATTCTTTAAATATTTGCATTCTTCTGCAGGGACTGTACGGGCTGCTGAGTCCTGGGGACACATATGGGAAGTTTTATTCAAAACATACAGCCTCAAACTCTGCTAACTGCCTCCCATTCTGCTGTAATTTACTGCTGTATATATACCTGCCTCTGCCAAAAAGCCAGGCCTGGGTTGTTGATGTTCTCCCTGTGACCCTTCATGCTCTTCCTAACAGGAAACTAAGCGCGATTAGCCACTTCCTGTCTGACCCTGTGTGCATTTTGCAGCCATCTTTCCTGTCCTCCCCTCACTTCCCTTGTCCTCACTCCCATGATGTCCTCAAGCTGTCCTTGCCCAACGCCAGTGCGGTTCCCCTCGGATGAGCTGTAGCTGTGTGATGTATTGCCACGTCAGGCCTCGCAGTGGGACTCTAACCCTACTGTCACACAGGGCCAGGTGGGTTCAGGGTGAGCTTGGTTGCCCTTTCACTTCTTAGCTTGGGGGGAGAAACTTCCTGCAGTCTGTTCACCATATGGGGCCATGCCAGTCTCCATCCTTGATAACTTTGTTTTCCTCTGGAAGTGAAGGAAGGCCTGTCTGAATCACTCTTTTAAA